TATTGACAAAAGTAATAATATTATTACAGTAACAAGTAACGCGTCACATTAACCTAAACTCTGCATATTTGATCAGTATGCACATAGGCATTCATATGATTACAGTGTAGTGGATAAGATCAAATAATGCAAGAAGTTTGTAAAGAGACATCTAACCATATAATTATATATTTTCAGTTACTTTTAAGTAAGTTCAACATTCATACATGAAAGAATGTTAATTGTTGAAAAAATAAATTGTGTAGTTCCTCCCTAGTTATGACTTTAGTCTCAACTAGTTTGGATCTAGCCAGTATTTTGTGTAAGCCAAGAATTTTTACACCCAGATGGCTGCCCAGGATTGAGTAGTATACAGTTATGTTATGCGATTTGTTAACTTGTGTGTAAAGAGAGTTTTAAATACTGTAAAACTTTATGGAAAACAGTGATTGTAGTGTCAGCTGTGTTTCCTCCTGATCTTTAGTAATCCACCAACAGAACCTCAATCACTTTCATTAAGTTGTTTTTTCTCCTGACCTTTAGTAATCCACCAGCAGAACCTCAATCACTTTCATTAAGTTGTTTTTTCTCCTGACCTTTAGTAATCCATCAGCAGAATCTCAATTGCTTTCATTAAGTTGTTTTTCCTTCTGACCTTTAGTAATCCTTCAGCAGAACCTCAATCACTTTCATCAAGTTGTTTTTCCTCCTGACCTTTATTAATCCATCAGCAGAACCTCAATCGCTTTCATTAAGTTGTTTTTCCTCCTGATTTTTAGTAATCCACCAGCACTTTCAAAATTGATTCAGTAAATGTTTTTCATCTCTAAATTATTCAGGTGACACAGGTCTGTGTTGTGAAATTAGAAATCATTGCTTGTAACACTGTTTAGACTAACATGTGTGAATAACTTTTATGATTACCAATATAAGTACATTTTATACTCACATTTACTGTTGTTTCAGAAATATCTTTAGTAATTTCGACATTTTTTAATACTGAAAAAATGTTTTTGATATGTTGCTGTTTTTCAGACACTATTTTAGGCCTAAGAATTACTACTTGTTTGCTAAGTCTGCAAGTGGAACTGATTTTATCATAGAACAGAATTAACCTTAAGTTAATGTGAAACTGTTCTTTAAAAAACAGTCACCAGTTTATATACATTTTATCAAACAAATTAAAATGATTTTTTGCAATGTAGCATTGCCATTGTGACTCGCATTAAGAGATATGTAAGAGGGAGGACACTAAGTTTTTCTGAGGAATGAACTTTTCGGACTTCTTCCAATTTATTCAGTCATCATATTTATTTGTGAACATCAGTATTCTAGAAATATCTCTCCTATCCACTGTGGATTTTAGTATTCATGCTCAGGTAATTCAGTGATCAATTCCTTTAGTACCTAGAACAGTACTGAATTTCTTGTACAATTTTTACTTTTTTCATATCTTTCTTGTCCGCTTGATGTCCTTTCCCTTAATAAGATAAAGCTGTTTTTTCTTTGGTCTGAGCTACATTGTTATTTCTTTGGAAGATTACTTGTATCTATTGGACACTTATATTGGCTTTACCAACATTGGTTTTATCTCCATCTTTTAAGAACTATATTCTTAGTCTTCATCCTCAGATTAAACGTCTTTGTTCCATGATTGATGATTTTTGTGGTATTTTATTGATCAGTTGAGGCATTCTTTGCACAAGCCTTGGTGAAGAAGAACTATCACTTTGGTTCTTTCTACGAGCCTACAACATTAAGACTGTTCTTATATTTTTCTGCATTTGAAGACCATTTCATTCTCATTTGCTTATCATTGTAAGCACAGTAAAATTTTAATACCCATGTTTTGTTTAGTTCTTGTGATGTTTGTGAACTGATACTTCTGCACCTCACTGATAGATTATCTTTCTTTTACTTCAAAACAATTTTCAATAATGTCTCTTTACCTTCGCCAGGCTTGTCCTTACCTGTCAACTTGCAGATTCTCATATCATTAAATTTATAAGTTGATTTTTGGTTTGCTATGTTTGGTTTAAAGCCAGTGTCATTTATCAATTTTGAGATTTTAAAGTTTATATAAATTTTTTAAATTTAAATTTCAAAATTATTATCTTTTTTAAGTGAGAGTTTAAGTTTGATTAACATTACATTTTATAGTCTCTTCCATGGTTCATTTGAATGATAATGTCCCTTCAGGAGTTGAGCTTGATGGATTCTCCATGTTCATATTTAAAACTCTGGTTGGAAGAAGATTCCATCTCAGCCCATGTGGAATATTCCCTCATCCAAACACTTAACACTGGAATTGTTCTAGAGTGAGGTGCCTCAGATGCTATCGTCTTTAGCCTTTTGTGTGGTTGATATTATACTTAACCCTTGTTCTAGAATGAGGTGCCTCAGATGCTATCTTCTTTAGCCTTTTGTGTGATTGACTATTATACTTAACCTTTGTTCTAGAGTGAGGTGCCTCAGATGCTATCTTCTTTAGCCTTTTGTGTGGTTGACATTATACTTAACCCTTGTTCTAGAATGAGGTGCCTCAGATGCTATCTTCTTTAGCCTTTTGTGTGGTTGACATTATACTTAACCCTTGTTCTAGAGTGAGGTGCCTCAGATGCTATCATCTTTAGACTTTTGTATGGTTGACATTTTATTTAACTCTTTTTCTAGAGTGAGGTGCCTCAGATGCTATCTTCTTTAGCCTTTTGTGTGGTTATTTTTCATAATTTGATACAGACTGTTCCATCTGTATTTTTCTGGAGGATTGAATAGGCTTGACAATCTTATGGCTTTCTCCAGTGAGATTTTTCACTCCAATTGTCTTAAACTATTCTTTTCTGTATACCTGACTTCAGCTATTCTTTTGATTTTTTTATCTGTTTGTGTGTTAAATAGAGCTAGGCAATTAGTGGACATTGCTAATTGATTAACTGACAGTCTCATTAATTGATTATTATGTCATTGAAGCAAAACAAAACAAATTATAATGCTAACAATTGAGTTTCAATACTCACAATGGTCAGAGCATTTAATGCATTAAACAAACAAAATGGTAATTTTCTGATGACTTGATATTCCGTGAGTCATGACATTAATTGATTAACTTGTAATTTTTATTATTTTACATGATGCTAATCAATGTAATCTCTGCTTATAGGTAATCAATTAGCCAATTTAATTGCCCAGCTCTAGTGTTGAATTATTTATCTGTGACACTATTTTATCCTTGCCTATTTCATTCTATCAATAATATTTTATTTCTAGCTTTAGTATTTTACTTTTCACTTCTTCCAGAAATGCCTAGTTACATTTGGTATTTACAAATAAGATTTGTTTAACTCTACATTAGTCTTCCAGGTTCTTCGTGGACCCAAAATATTTTGTAAATATCAGCACGACAGATTGAAGTACATACATGTTTGTTGTTCTCAGTAGTTTCAGTATTCGGCTAGTTTGTGTTAAATTGTTACACTTTGTTGAGGTGGTAAAAAATAAACAACTTATAATATTCAATGTTCATTTATTGATTAATAAAGGAAAATATTTTGAGTGTTAGTGGTTTTTATTTCCAAAATACTATCATTATTTAACTATTTTTTAAATAATTTTTTTATGATGGTGTCTGCTCAGACCCTGGAAGGAGTGACTATGTAACATTTTTACAGAAGATTAATGCAGGGTTAATTTATGAATATAAGTGGTATATCTAATGAGTTTAAAGTAATTATTTTTCATAAATGATGAGTGTACTGCCATGTAAAATAAGAATTTATTAAAAAACAGTTTTGCATTAAAAAGGTGTTGGCAAAATATTAGTATATATACCATAAAAGTGTTATCATAAAAAGTTGTATACATGTACTAATTAACTCTAAAGTACCTGGGTGTGTGGATTCAATGCACCTATTGTACAGTTTTTTATTGCATTGCAAAAACAACTGGATGAAATATTTTGAGACTGAGGTGAATTTTCTACAATTTATATAGCTTCAGCAAATAAAAAAATTATTTTAAGTGATATTTGTATGAATTTGGAGCTTTGAAAATTTGAAAAGATTCAATTATGATTTTCTAAGAAGCAAGTAAAGAGCATACCTTTGTCGTAGATTTTAATTACTGATTTTTATGCTTTCCTACTCTTAAAACTAAATTTTATCATTGTTTTGATTTTAAAAACAGCACATGTAGTTTCATTTTTACCATACCAAAATTATAAGCAAGCATTTTTTTTTTCTGGTGTTCACCAGAAGGTTTTTATCAAATATATGTATTAACTTTTTTTTTCACATTTATTTTCGGTTACTTTCTATGTCCATTCAAGAAGTTACTGATGAGTTCTAATTTAAATATTTCCTAACAACAGCTGTTTTGTTGGCACATAGAAACAAAATATGGTTGAGTGCAAAATGATCTAACTAAACCTACCTTATATTCTTTCATGAAAATTATTTACTATTATACATCACCACCACAATCAAAATGAAAAATTATAAAATATATAAAACAAACTCTTTGCAAGTTTCAAAAATTAGGACTGAAATTGTAGCAGAAGTTGTTTACAAATATTTTTTTCTTTTAGTAAAATATCACAAAGCTAAGCTTTTATCACTGTTCTATTCTCTATATAAGTCTATAATGAATATTGAGAAGAACAGAAAAGCATGGTGAAGATTAATCCAAAATCAAATGTTTCAATTTAAAAATGTTTTATATATATAGAATTAAATAGATAAAACTTTTTTTTAAATGTAATTCAACTCTGAATTTTTTTAAGATGTGGAAGAACAACTACAAATGTATTTTCTGTAATCTTAAAATTCACTGGTGCAATTTTTTCCTTCAGTTGGAGTGCATCCTTCCAGCCATAATAAAACCGAAGATTCATAACAATGTAATTAATGAATGCACAGCACTTCCTATTATCTAACATGGTAATACACTTGTGGTTTCTTTATGGAAAGAACAATAACTTCAGGTATTAATATCATTATGACAATTTATTTTACAGATGATAAAGGTGGAGAGATAAAAGATCATTTGATTGATGAATTAGACTATGTATTAGTACCACAGGAAGCTTGGGATCTTCTTAGTAGTTGGTACGGGACAGCTAATGGCCAGCAACCTATTGCTCGAAAAGTTGTAGAGTATGGAATGTTTGTTAAACACTGTAAGGTGTGTTTCTTTTTATAATTTTTTATTGAAATTTGGTTGTGAAATAGATTGCTATTTTTAAATTCTTTTTGAAAAGTGGTGTCTTTTAAATAGTGATGTCAAAGAAGAGCTACAGTACAGTTTTATGTTACTCAACTAAATCTAAGGATAATACATTTCTTAACCAGATCTAATCGTATCTACTGTAGATAAAATGAATATTGAGCATCATGTCTCGGTGATGACAGTTGTCATGAGTACTTGCTATGTAATAGATGTTTGAAGTCTCCTGTAACACATACTTCTTTAGGCTTAATTTTAATTCTTTTTATATGAGATCATTCATTAACTTCTAGGCCATTGATAGTATGTATGTCAAAAAAGGGGCTATTTCCAAATAAAAAAATACTGCTGTAGATATTTGTGATTAATTAGATCAAAGTATGAAATTGAAATTTATTGGTTAATCTACTCAAAGCTCAAGTTTACACTCCGTGATGAAATTCTAAATAAATACTATTTTGTAAAATGTTTTGCAGACTTGTTAGGATATATACTAACAATAACATATTTGTAAGCCTATGAATGAAATCTTTAATGGTTTTCATTTTCTGAGAAAAAGACAGGTGGTTAAACATAAAGAGATTGAGCATACCTTAAGTTTAAATAAACCAACAATGAATGATTGTATCTTGGTAGTATTATTTAATTAAACCAAAAATGAATGATTGTATCTTGATAGGATTATTTAAATAAACCAAAAATGAATGATTGTATCTTGATAGGATTATTTAAAAGAACAAAAAATGAATGATTGTATCATGGTAGGATTATTTAAAAGAACCAAAAATGAATGATCGTATCTTGGTAGGATTATTTAAAAGAACCAAGATGCAATCGTTCATTTTTGGTAGGATTATTTAAAAGAACCAAAAATGAATGATTGTATCTTGGTAGGATTATTTAAAAGAACCAAAAATGAATGATTGTATCTTGGTAGGATTATTTAAAAGAACCAAAAATGAATGATCGTATCTTGGTAGTATGATTTAAATAAACCAAAAATGAATGATTGTATCTTGATAGGATTATTTAAAATAACCAAAAATGAATGATTGTGTCTTGGTAGAATTATTGAAAAGAACCAAAAATGAATGATCGTATCTTGGTAGGATTATTAAAATTAACTAAAAATGAAAAAATGTATCTTTGACTCACATTTGCTCTATCCACTAATGCAAAGAGAATGCCTGGAAAAATGTTTGATTTTGAGATTAGGCACTGTTAATCCCTTTGGAATGAATGAAGATTTCTCTTTCCTTTAACTTTTTCCTTTCCTTTTCCCCACCCTACACTTTTTCTCTACCTTCTCACATTGACATTTAGTGTCTACAACTTTTTCATTCAAGGTTTGCACTCTTTTTCTTCTCTAGCCCATTCACTTTAGTTACCCACTTTTGTTACCTTTATATTATTTTTTTATAGTCATCCTTCACTCCTGTTAAGTTCACATACCTTTTATTGTTGTATCCCTTTGAACAATATTACCTGATGCAGGTGTTCATTTATTTTCTTACATTGTTGCTTGTATTTCTGTTATATATTTCCATTTTTTTTATTTAGTTTATTTACTACAATTAACTGTATTTATACAATTTTTATACTTTTATTATTATTATTTTTTATATGTTACTTTCATTAGCTTATTTGTAGCTTCAGGAACACGTTCTCGAACCTTTGAACCATGTGTTCTTTCAACCTAACTCTTATATTAACAGTTTGATTGTCACTGGTAACCTGATGAAGGGCTGTTGCCAGAAATGTCGTTTTCTTGTTTTATTATTAAAGTTGTTTTAATTGGGCAAGTGTTTCACCACTAATTTATATTATATTTTGCATTTTGTTATTTCCTCGCCTACATAATTCGTTTATTTCTTGAACTAGTCTTAGTATGAATCAATACCTCAACAACAATAAATAAAACGGAAGTTCATCAACTTGTCTTCGTGGGATTCGGTACCTTAACAAGAATAAATAAAACGGAAGTTCATCAACTAGTCTTAGTATGAATCAATACCTTAATAAGAATAAATAAAACAGAAGTTCATCAACTAGTGTCAGTAGGATTCAATACCTTAACAAGAATAAATAAAACAGAAGTTCATCAACTAGTCTTAGTATGAATCAGTACCTTAACAACAATAAATAAGACAGAAGTTCATCAACTAGTCTCAGTGGGAATCAATACCTTAACAACACTAAATAAAACAGAAGTTTATCAACTAGTGTTAGTAGGATTCAATACCTTAACAAGAATAAATAAAACAGAAGTTCATCAAATAGTCTTAGTATGAACCAGTACCTTAACAACAATAAATAAAACAGAAGTTCATCAACTAGTCTTAGTATGAATGAGTACCTCAACAACAATAAATAAAACAGAAGATCATCAACTAGTCTCAGTGGGAATCAATACCTTAACAACAATAAATAAAACAGAAGTTCATCAACTAGTCTTAGTGGGATTCAGTATCTTAACAAGAATAAATAAAACAGAAGTTCATCAACTAGTGTTAGTAGGATTCAGTACCTTAGAAACATTAAATAATGAACTTGTAAGGATTAACTAAAGTAGGCAAATATGGAGATATGCATGTAATTATGTCTCATTCAAGAAAACATTCAGTCGTAGGTTGCATTATGTTTGTTTGTTTACTTTTGAATACACATACAAATATATATATATATAAGCTTTAGTTTGTAATCGAAAGTTCACTTTTAGCTTTTGTAACGAGCAAGTAATATGTACTATTTCAGTTAAATATATTTTTTCCTTCAAATTCAGGTGGAAGTGTACTTGATGGAGTTCAAGTTGTGTCAGAACAGTGACCTGGAACATTGTGTGAGCCGTAAGTTTAGTAAAGCAGATACTGTAGGTAAGTTCATGACACAGTGATAAGGAGCCCTTTCTTTGCCAAATAATTCACTTCAGCTATAAGTGTAAAGCTAATATATGAAAAAGATAAAAAATTCCTTTAACCCTATCGCCCTGGGTATCCTTTACTGCGCATGACACAAGGTTTTAGTGTCTTACATTCAAAATTTTATTAAACTACTTTTTATTTATGTTATACCAATTAGAATAGCATAAAGCCTAAGCTAATAATCCATATTTTGATAGTATACAAGATTAAGTTCTCAATTATACAAGGGAATATACAAAAAAATCCTGAATTTCCATTAATGTGACCCATTTGTCTTAACATGTTATCATCCCTATTTTATCTATGACCCCTCGAAAATGTAAGAAATTAAACATAAATTA